CTCTCTCCCTCTCTTCCCCCGCTTCCTCCCTCCTTCTCTTGGCACACTTCCTGGGGGGCTCAGTTGGAAGTCCTCTCATCTGCCCAGCTGGCCCACGGATGGTCCCTCAAAGCCTTCTCCCCACCTCAAGGCTTCAACACTGCCCTCCTGGATGGCTTTTCCTGAGTGGTAAGAGGGCTCAGCTCCCTGGTAGATGGCTGAACGCAGGACAAAACACACGCACAGGTAGCTCAGCTGTGTGCGTGCTTTGTCGCGGGCTCCTGCGCCTCTCCCTCGTGGCCCACCCCAAATGGAAGGGTCCCTGGGAGCCCTGTTGCTGGAGAGCAGAGAGCCTCAGTTTGGGCTGTAAAAGTACAGCTCTGCTCCTGAACCTTCTAGACTTGAGGCTGCTCTGGCACAGGCAGATTTGCTCAGAGCCCGGAGGACTGCCTCATCTGTTTCCCTTCAAGCATTTGGGAGACTGTGCTTATTTAGCAAAGTGGGTTCTGCCTTCACCCGAGCCCACGTGGTGACTGGAGAGTAAACCCTGCAGAGTCTCAGAGGAGGCTCCCCTGGGGAACCAAACACCTCGCTTTTGGCCAGGAAATGCTGCAGGCTGGGTCCCAGGGGGAGAGACCCCTGGCACCTGTCTGGGGCTTGTTTGGGCTCTGGGTGGCTCTAAGGCCACGTTCAGGCCTGCGCTGGCAGTGGTCCAGGCTGTCTTGGGCAGAGATGCCAACAGGCCTGGGCACCGATCTCGCTCATGATTCCAACAAGACAGCCTACCTTTCTGCGCACCTTGGAGGAAACTCACGCCAGGCCGCCCAGCTGACTGACGGCCCAAGGCAGCCGCTCACTCTCCTCCCCCCTGCCTGGGGCAAATCCTCAGGCAAAGTCTGAATCTGCCCTCATCTTCCCAAAGCATTTTTTAAATGGCTTTCTGGTGACACCAACATGAGTCTTCATTTTCTAGGTGTGTCTCCCTTTCATCTACTGGTGCAGCCATTTGAGGACACGGAGAAACAATCTGACTTTGTGGTTCCTTAAATGTTTTATATAAGGAATATGATGCAAAATCAGAAACTTGTGGGCTTTGTAAATATTTGCTCATGCTCCCTACAACTGAGGACGCTGAGGAAGCAGCACCTGACGAGGGGGTGCTGTTCTGAAAAGAGACCATGAAGAGGGCTGGGGGGCTCAGGGCGATGGTGGGACTGTGGGACCCCCCAATTCCACTCCTTCCAAACTCTCTTCTTCAACACCCACCCTTTGGCCTGGAAAGCCTGCGTGGCTACTTGCCCTGAAAAGCCTATGGTTGTTTACATCATGTTTGTGTAGGTGTCTTTATTCAGGGTTCATTTTCACCTCATTCCAAAAATAAGAAGTGAAAAGGACTTTACATTTTCCTGACTTTGGGATGCTGGGCAAGAAAGAAACTTCCAGCTTCAATAACTAATCAACGAGGTGTTCCTTTGTTTGCACATGCACTTATTTTCTGGCAAGTGATTGTTAAGTGCGGGAGTTGGCCTCCACTTTTCTATCAGACTAATTGCTATTTCTACGTCGGAAATAGCTGAATTTACTCTACAATCCCAATTAAAAGAGGGTGAGCCAATCTATTAGGAAGCTGTAAGTTTGTTATCTGGCAAGAATCTTCTTTCTGTTCTTAATATAGGGTGGGAGGGGGGCCTGGGAAACAAAAAGAGGGAGTGATCCCTCGTGGGGGCTTTTCCAACTTTCATTGGCCTGAGTCATACATGCATGTTTTATTTTTTTAAGGAAGTATGAGTTTCGCTGCAGAGCACCTCTAAAAGTTTTACCCTTCGACTATACCATATTCTTTTCTATTGAAACATTTTTTCCCTACGAGATTCACTAAGGCTTGTGTATTGCTAAGAACGAAATTCAGAGTTACTATTTTTTTTTTCTTCTAAATCCATACTTCTTTTGGGTGGGGGGATAGCAACTGCTTAATGAAATTTTATGCAGAGGAGTAAACAAGGAGAAAAGGCAAAATGTAATCAGTGTGTACATCAGTTCCAGGTTGAGTTATTTTTTCTTATTGGGTAGGGGGAGGGGACGGTGGTAAGAATATGAAAAGAAGCTGTGATTCTTTGCCGAATTAATGACAACTTCTCACTTGCAAAGTACTGATTTATAATCTCTTCATCATACTGCTCTGCCTGTTTCCAGGCTTAGAGGGGGGGAAGTTTGCTAAATGTATTCATAATTACATGCCCGGTTTCAGAAGGCTGAATTTAGGCAGTGACTGTACTGAGCAAACGCTTGCGTTCACATTTAGCACTAAATCCTCCCTGATTTTCCACACTTAACAATTCAGTAATTTCAACATACAGCTTCATCACCCCGACTATAGCTCTGGATCTTGGCGCAACATTCGGTGTTCCAGTCTGGGTAATTGACGGAAAACGCCGTATTTGTAGAAGTATCATTAAAGGCTAATTTGGTGAGATATCCTTACTTAGCAGAGCAAATAGGATCTGACAGACAGCCTGTGCGATGGCGGTACCGATTCAGCAAAGCACAAACACAATTATTTACGTGACAATTTCCCATCGCCCAGCCTCGCTGGAAGTGTGGGTTCCTGAAAACTGTGCTGTTTCATCGTGTCCCATAACAAAGAGAAGAAACTCTGAAAGTAAAGAACTGCTTTTGCTAAGGCCCAGGGAGTGCAGCTGTCTGCTGTGTCCATGTGCCCTGTCTACCAAGCACTGCTGTGCTCACAAACTTTTCAGGGACAGCTTACTTTTCTATTCCCTGTCGTGAACACTTGACTGAAATCCAGGTTTGCAAAGAAACTTAAGGTACATGGATGTCTGTAGGCTGCAAAGGAAGGGGGGGGGGTGTGGTGTGTGTGTGTGTGTGTGTGTGTGTGTGTGTGTGTGTAAATTAGTACAACTTACTAAAGTTAATGTTCCAGGAGAGGCATTTGGCCCCCATCACCCTTGCCTTAGAAACTTCTTTGTGACCAGGTTATGCAGTTTCTTATAAAATGACTTAGAATGAGGTAGCAAAGAATTGCCAAGTAATATTGTGATTCCACGTGGAAGCAAGCAGAGAGCATTGCTTTTCTGACAAGTCTAAAGGCAAATCTGATATAATTATGATTCACAATTTCAGCTATGTTCGATTTTGGGGGGTGTCAAACGCTTTGACGCCACCAGTGTACCCTTCATTTCCTTCAGATCCTGTCCATGAAAACATCTCATCAGACCACTGGGCAAAAAAATTTGTACTTTTGCCTTCTCATATCTCTTTTTGGCCTTTCAAGCAAAGAGGCCCTGGAAAACACAGCAGGTTCAACAAACTGAGAAAACACACACATACACATATATAAGAATATCCCCCAAAACAGCTTTTCATTTTTACCCAAAGTAGGAACCCTCTCTCCCTTTTGCCCCGGACTTTCAGAAGCACAGCCTGGGGGTATCAGCTCTCTCCCTTGCTCGCCAGGGGCTCCTGGGACCCGAATCCCTCGCTGTTGAGAATGACCCCAAAAGCGGGACTTTGTGGGCCAGTTGGATAAAACATAAACTCATCTCGCCCTCAAAACCCCGATTCTGGGACCACAGCCTTCAACATTTCCTTTCTGGAGAAGTGACCCCTTCCCAGCTCACAGCACCGGGGCAGGCTGTGTCGGAGGCAGGATTTTGGAGAATCCTGGATAATTGAAGGAATCATTACAGGATTTTCCTGCAGGCACGACAGTTACCTCACGGAAAAGCTGGGGTCCTGGTAGAGAGAGGGAATTATCTGCCCACCCCGTGGGGAGATCTTTTCCCTTTCTTGCCCCCAGACCCAGAGTTGGGCCTTAAAATTTTCCCAAGTAAGACACTGGGCACCCAAAATGTCCCTTAGCAAAGCGCAAAAGAAGCGCCTGTACACTTCCACCCCCCATCCCCATCCAGCTAAAGTTTAGTTATTTGTGCCTTTAATTGTCTCTCATTAAAGTCAAATTTGCTGCTTGCCCAGATTGGGGGAAATTATTTCTATCTTAATAGCTCAATTAGCTTCTGGGTTCTGAAAGGCCACCCCCGTACATACACCTTTCCTCCCCACCTTAAACCCCCTCCCTTTTCCACAACTTCTCCTAAAAATAAATTATAAATATGGATGTGTCCTCAGAGGATCTGAGCGGCACATTCCAATGCTCCTCGGGAGGGGATTGGAAGCAGGAGAAACCAGAAACGCTACTCCCCCAGCCCTAAATGAAAATGCCTTTTGCTTCCCCCAACCCCTAACTTTTGCCAGAGCAACTTGATTGGTCCCCGGCCCTGACACCCCGATCCGCACCCCGGAACCTAGTTTTTTTCTTTTTTTTTTTTTGACGCCTGCCCAGCGAAAGCAAAAGCCAACATGCTATGGCCGCCTGCTCCTGGGAGAACAGGAGGGACGGAGGAAGGGGGCAGCCAACTTTAGTTTGGGGAGGTGGTAACTCTCTGGGGACTATCCTCCCCGGTTCTTCTGGATGTCCCTAGGAGGGTGGCGCTGGCCCCTGTCCGTGCCACCGCGCCCCGAGCGCACGTGGAGTGGCGGGCGCACAGGGTGCGGACCGGCAAGCGGGCGGCCTGCTCTCTGCACAGCATTGATATCGGGGTCACGCAGCGAGTCAGTTTCCCGAACGGGCTTTCCAGGGTGGGGGCAGGGCGGCTGCCTTTCAAACTGCCCAGCGCGAGCATCGGGGAGGTAGGGGGGCTGCCTTGCCCCCATTCCACCTCCTCGCCTAACACGCCCCTCTCAGGAGCCAGGGAGGGGGCTGGGGACAGTCCACCCCACGGCTTCGGGCGGCGGCTGCGGCTGATCGCAGCCCAGACAAGCGTCTCACACGGTCCCGGGAGAGCCACGCGCTGCGCCGGCCGCCACCTCGCCGCTCCCGTTCCCACCCACCCCCAGGCAGCCGCCCGCACCCCTCTCAGCCCCGGGGGCCTGGGTACCCACCTGCCGCGGCCCCTGCTCTGGCGCGGGGGAGGGGTGCCATGAAGGAAAAAGGGGAGACTCACCGCTGCTGCCTCCTCCGGGGGGCAGCCCCCCGGGGCTGCGCCTTCCAGGGCTCTGGGGAGGCGTGTGTAGGGGTTATGGGGGGGTGCCCCGTGGGCCCTGCAGCCTCCGCCTTGATTGAAGCCCAGGCTCAAATCCTCCTCCGTGGGGTGTGGGGGGAAGACTTCCAGAAAAAAATCCCACCCCTCCCCAGACCAGATCCAAGTGATGGGGGGCGGGGGGCCTAGAAAATCCCTTTCTGCAGAGAGCTCGGAGCGGACGACGGGGCTGCACCCGGTCTCCGGTCCGCTGCCGCCACAAAGCCGCGCCCCCGTCCCCCCCTCCCGGCCCGGCCCGGCCCGGCCCGGCCCCCCTCCCCCGCTCCCCCCACGCCCTATGGCCGGCCTGGGGCGGGGGCTGGGCCAGCCCCGGGTTGGCCGTACTGGGGAGGCAGCGGCGGTGGATCAGGCGGCGGGGCGGCTCCTCCCCGGCCGGTCCTGGAGAGAGGGCAAGAGCCAGGAGCCAAGCGAGCGCGCCCGCCGGCCTGGGGTGGGGGCTGTGGCTGGGGCCGGGGGTGCCTTCCTAGAAACCCTCGCCAAATATAGTCAGTGGATAGGGGCATTCCTAGAAACGCGGCGGCAACGTCAGCCTCAACCTGCGGGGGCAGACACTGGGGTTCTCCAAAGTGGGGGGGGATGAGGAAGTAGGGACATTCCCCACTTCCAATATCCCCTTGGCCGGGAGGAAGCTGGAGGAGGGAGTCCAGGCGGGGCCTCCATCCTAGGCGTGTATGCAGGATTCCTTCAAATGCGTTCTGGGGATCCCTCAGCTGGGGGTGCAGGGATGCCCGAATGGGGACACATTTACTTAAGATTCAGACCTGCCCCCAGATTTGCCTCCCCTTTTTGGGAACACCAGTGACAGTTCCAGCAGGGACGTCTAGCCCTTCCTCCAATTTTCTACACTACCCTACCCCCAGGAACAAACTATCGAAGTTGAGCGGCACCCAGACTCTGCCACTCACCCCTCGGTTGCCCCTAGTCTCCTTTGGGAGGATCAGAATCCCCTGGAAACTTCAGGTTTGAAACGCAACGGACGTCCTCTATTCCCCAGAATGCTCCAAAATACCAACCCACCTTCAGGCCAAAAGATAAAGTTGTGCTACCCCTTTCCCCATTTTAATGTCACTTCATTATTGCTTTCACAGCCCCATACTCTGGGAGGTACTTGGGAAATTGGGATGGGACATGAGGCTGCCCTCCTTACCTGGCAGAGACTGGCCTCTGGCGCTGCCACCAGCCCCCTGCCCCCTGTAAGCTACACCCCACCATGAAGTACATGAGGTTCCAACAATAAAGCGACCCTCCCCTGCACTCAGCCACCTCCCCAAGTCTGCCCCCACCTGCTGCCCTTGCCCAGGGACCCCCAGATCATGATAGAAGTGTCCCCTCTTGCCTAAAGAGGATTCAAATAACTGAGACATGACTTGTCACCCTTGACCGCCCAGCCTCTTTTCAAGTGAACGTGACAGGACCCAGCTTTCCAAGATCATAAAAAATGTATGTGCTGTCCTCTGTTGGCCAATGCATGTCACACTCAGAAAACACGTCAACCCACCCCGTGGGCCCTCCTGATGGCATCAGGTGGGTCCCAGGGACCCCAGACAGAGGGAGCGGGCAAGTCAGCCCCTACTTCTCCTTCCGCTTCAGTTGCACGCCTACGGCGCCCCTGTCGGGGGCAGGGGAGAGGTGGTCCTGGTTTGCATCCACTACACAAAACAGTGACCCACTGACCTTGCTCATGGGTCTTCACCCTTGTTGAGCCCTATTTCCAGAAGCCTGGAGGGCGTGCTCAAGGGGGGGTGGTGGGAATGGCTGCAGCGGGGGTCTCTGGGCTCACTTCCAGCTGGGGGACCTCTGGGGAATGGTGTCTTTAACAGCAATTTAGAGGAGAAATGTGGCATCAGGGAAATAGGTCAGACCCCTCTAAGGCAAAGGGCCAATCATTGATAGTTATCAGTCCCCATTGTCTCCTGAGGATCTGCTATGTGCCAAGCACATGAAGGATGCGATCTTACTAAACTCACCCCATTGTCCAGATAACAAGACTGAGGCTTAGAGGACAGCTGTTCCCTGAACTAATGCTCGCTTGCCCTCCATGTGCCAGACACAGAGCTGACGCTGGGGCTTGAGGTCCCTGCCCTTGAGGAATGTGTGGTTTCAGAGTCCCAAGTCAGCAGGTGCTCAGCATGCTGCCGTTGTGGTCTGGAGGCCAGCAGCCTTGGCTCAGGGCATCATGAGAGACCAAGGCTAGGCTGGGATGTCCCACCTGGGCCCTCTGTGCCGGCTCCACGTGGGTGCCTTCTGCGTCCAGACTGTATTGTCCTGGCTGTCTCATGTTCACTTCTCACCAGGCGGGAGACCCAGGGCACCGCTTAGCCTCTCTGGGCCTCCTCAGTTTCCTCATCTGTAAAGTAGGAATTATAATACCTGCCTTATAGGACTTTTAGGGGGATTGAATGAGACCAAGTTTGAGTAGGGGTATTTGGCATTTTTTTTTCATTTCCTCCTATATATGTTTTTCCTTGTATTTATTCTGTGTTTAGAAGTTGCAATTTCCAGTACCGTTAACAAAAAGTACATAATAAAAGTTTCCTGACATGTGAAAAAATAATTGTAAGTGCTGGAAAAAATTGGCCTCGTGAACATATTTAGACTTGTGCTTAATATATATTTCACTGGACATTAATTATATGACATTTATACAAGCATTAACATTTCCAAATCACTCTAAGTAGCAAGCAGTTTAGCTCTTCACCATCTAACCCCAATGTAGAAAGTCACTCAGTTTCTGAAGGCAATAGGAACAAGCGTCACAAATGGTCAATCTGAGACACTGTTGACATGTTGTTCTGTTCCTTCCCCTGAAGATGTGTCTGTTAAGTGTCCTTACACTTTCTCCTCTTTGCTCTGATCTTCTGGCAGCTTCAGAATCATATTTTGGATTTCTTCTCTTTTTGTTCTCATGCTTGGGGAAGGAAACCAGTTTGCAAAATTCATAGGTAGCTCAGAATTGAGAATTGGCTTTTTCTTAGAATTTTAACAATATCTAACCAAGAAGGGCCTCTGAATGAGTTCACGATATGGTTGGTTGTTCTTGGTATTATTACCTGGAGGAGGGGTGGGGGGAGTTCTGAGCCGACACTGAAAAGAAGAAAAAACTGGGCCTGCAGGAGGGGTGGAGTCCAGGCAGCAGGTGTAATGCATGCAAAGGCCTGGCCCCTCTGGCAGCTGAAATAGTTCCTCTTGTCTGAGCAGCCCTGGCTTAGGGTCTTGCGGGAGCTGACCCCCACCCACATCGGTGAACGAGCCACAGGATTCTGGAAGCTCACCTCATGACCCCAGCTCAGTCTGGGTGCAGAAAGAAAAAGGCTCCGGTGGGACCAGCAGGGCCCCTGGGCAAGGCCCCATGGAAGGCAGCCAGGGCCCTGCCTTTCTTTATCTCCACTTTAAAAGCCCCCACAGGATGCCCCACAGGTCCCTGTGAGGCCTGCCCTGGCCCGTTCTGGATTGGCTTCTCATGACTCAAGCTAGTGGCGGGCCTGAAATCCCGTTAAGCACCGGAAGCGCTGCCAGACTCCGGAAAACAACCCGCTCTCCAGCCGGAAGCCCCAGAGGCCCGCTCTGGCCTTCTCCCAGGAAGGAGCCCCGCCCGCACCCAGGTTTCTGGTCCGAGGATGGTGCCAAGACCTAGGCAAGAAACAAGAGAGGACACACCAGGCAGGAGCAGCCTCCAGGAAAGGCCTGGACTCCTGGCTCCCAGGCTGAGAGAGAGAGACAGAGAGACAGAGAGAGCGCGCGTGAGAGAGAGCAAGAAAGGGAGAGAGAGAGAGAGAAAGAGAGACACATGCAAGCCTGTCAAGTGTGCCAACACCCAGTCACTGTCATCTCCTGAGACTCCCAGAATATCCAAAATGAGAAACTTCCAAAGCAGGCATACAAAAATTATTGTACCATAGATTTTAAATGTTTGCATTAAACAAATGTATGTGCTTAAAAACCAGACACACACAAACAGTAATGAATGCAGTAATAGCAATGTAGTTATGCTAGATGTGGAACAATGGCAGGATTTACAGAAAATACGTTCGTAGGTGCTTCCACTGGGGTTCATGGGACACAAATCTGAAGTGACGTGATGGCTGTCTTCCTGTCCCAACCCCATCAGAGGGAGGTTGTGACCACGCTTGTGATTTCTTCTGGATAAAGTGTTAAGAATCTAGCCTAAAAAACATCTTTCTGAATATGAGGACTTAGGTCAAGAGGTCCTTATAAGTTAGGCACCCTGAAAACCAGTTTACCACCACCCCCCTTGCCTCTGACCCCTGACAGGATGCTGAGAAGAGGGAGCAACTCCAAGGCCTTTTGTTTTGCCCTGCCTACCTGCCCCAGTGCTGCCTGTCCACCTGTAAGGGGCAACAGAAATTGGGGTCAAGGACAAAGCAGGGAAACCACAGTTCCTGGGACCCAGCACTCAGACCCTGCGGTGTCAGGTGGAGAAGGCTCCTGGCCTGCCCATTTTCTTCAGGCCACCCCGAGCCACAGGACCCTGCATTTCTTTATAAAATGAAAAACGTGGGGCAACTTACATCCCTTCTGTGAGGATGTTGAGGTCCCCAGGAGGCGAAGAACTCCAGGCCCAAGGTGGACAGAAAGACAGATTGCCGTGAGAAACAACCAAGAGGTCTGTGGTTCCTGGTGGGCTGGGAACAAGACCCTTACTTGCTCAGGGGATCATGACACAGGCTGGTTAAGCAAAGCTTTGCAATTAAAAGAGAAGCCAGAAATCAGGCTGTGATCTGGGGGTGGATCCTTAGCCCCTCTGAGTTTAGTTTCCTTGCTGGCAACAATGGGGCTGTTCAAAGGATTAAAGTGCACGATTTGCATGAAGTGCTTGTCCAGGTCTGGCACATATTAAGTGCTCAATGAAATGTAGCAATTATCATTAGCTATCAAATGGGGGTGAACAGATTTACAAGGGTGAGAGGTTCTCCCTTTTCTCCTTTAAGATGAGGTTTGTGTCCATAGCATCAGCTTGATGCTTGCTCCTCTGTCCAGTGGAACCAAAATGGAAAGGGCACTGGGGCCTGACTGGGTGGGCCAGCCTGGACCAGCTGGACCTGGTCACCTAGAAATGCAAAGTTGGCCTCTTGGAGTTTCGGCAGGGTGACCA